AGGGCAGCAGGGAGTGAAGCACCCCCCTTTACTTAGCCAGCCACGAGCCCTGCAGCTCTTCCTCCCTCCACTGCCTCTCCCCCTGTCCTGCCCTCCCCAGCCCCTGCATTCTACTCCAGAGAATCCTTTCCTAGTGTTCTGTAGCCCTCAAAGCCTTCCCCTTCCCACAGTCACTCAAAGCTCCTGCTGCCCTGCCCTGGGCTCTCTCAAGCCATCCCTCCTCTCACACTGGGGGTGAGTACTCACCGGATTTCGTGTGCCAGCTCTACACATTTCCAGTGCTCCACGGGCTGCTCATTCAGCTGCAGCACCGTGTCCAGTTGCTGCAGACCTGCCTTCTCTGCTGGGCCACCTGTGAGGGACAGACTAATGCCAGTCACCTGCCAGCCAGGGAGCTGAGGTTGAGAGGGAGGAGAAGCCCAGGGGCTAGGAGACACCCAGAGAGCTTCACAGCTTGCACACTCACTCCTCCAAAACAACTCTTACCCCCAACACCTGACAATGAAGTGGGCCCAGCTAGCCTGGAGCTTCACCTTCCAGCATGCTCACACATACAGCCAGGACAGAGCCATAAATGCTCTCCCAGAGCTATAGCATGAACTTCCCATGTTTTCTGGGGTGCAGTGGGGAGCACCAGGGTACAACTGAGATACCAAGCTCATCCTGCAGGCCCACAACAAGAGGATCTACTCAAGCAACTGAGGGCTCGCATCATCCTGCTCCCCTCTGTGTCTTGTCTGACCTACCCTCCCCAGCTGCTTTCCATAGGTTTTCTAACCAGACAGTTCTTAGGCTGGAGTGGGAAGGGAACTAAATCTCTGCAACTTACTGAAGACACTGCTGAACTAGTGACACAGTGGCAACTCAGTGGGCTCTGACCTCACTAGAGGCAACAGAGAATTCATTAAGTGAAGTTTCTTGAAAGTAACTATAGTCCTGCAAGGAGTGGGAGCTTTGGAATCACTATGTGCTCCAGGAAGCAAAAGAGGAGCAGAGTCATTCATTCAAAGCAAGAAGGATAAACACAATCTGATCTCTTACCAGAGTCCACTGCCTGCACACGGACTGGGGAGTCACAGCAGATTGTGAAACCAAACCCATCAGCCCCTCGAGGGATTGTGATCTGCAGGGAGACACCAGAGTCACCTGGTCAGTGGGAAAGCAGCTGCTGCATGTGATGGGAGCACATTCCCCCTCATTCCCAAGCTGCGCCACAGCCTCTGGAAGTGCAGACACATGGCATTTGGAGAAGGAATCATCATGGGGAAGGGTTGTCACTGTGACCCCACAGACAACAGGTCTCCCCTGCTGCAGGGGCTGAAAGGTGCTGAAAGCAATGTCAAGTCAAGCTGCAAAAGGAGTGTTTATTGAGCACACACAAGTCTCTGCTCCTGACTCTTGTAAGGGTAAGGAAAGGTCTGATAAGCCATTAGAAAGGAAAACTGGACAGTGTGGCTCCAACACTGACTTCTAACACGACTTCTCTAAGCAAGTCACTTACACATTCAATTTCCTGTTGGATAATAGAGGAATGGGAGCACTCCTGCTCTGCAGGGAGCTGTGAGGATCAGCACACTCCTGTCCTCAAGGCATCTGTGCTGGCCCAGGCTCTGTGTGCATCACCTCCTCCACTGGGCTGAGTGTGTTTTCCCTCCCCTGAGCCTGGAGAGGATGCATGCTCTGTTGATTTAGGCTCATTTCTCCTCCTGCTTCAAGAAGCATTGAGCTTATTAATGAAATGATGCTTATTTTTTGCTGTTGGCTTCCAGCAGCAGCTCAGCATGAGAGATCCTGTAAATACTTGATTAGCCCCCAAGACATTAGTCAAGAGCTTGTTTTACTGACAGAGAAAAGAAAATTAAAATCCAACATCTGACCTGTGTTATTCTGAGACCAAACAGACGGAGAGAAGATGAGGAATTCAGCAGAAGCTGCCAAGGAGCAGGTCTGGTTCCTCACTCCTTTGCCATGGGAGGGCAAACAGAGGGAGTCTGCATTTCCCTGTACCTTGCTTGATTGCTCAGCATAAAACCAGGCTTCAAAAGAGAAACTGCTTTCCCTGGCAGGACCAAAACACAGGTCCAGTCCCACTATACTGAACAGTTTTCTCTCTGGAGTTTGTCAGATCCTCACACAGGGAAGGAAGCTGCTTGTGGCTCTGCACCTTCGAACCAACCTCACAGGTCAGTCCAAGCAGGAGTTGAACTCGATCCCTGCGAGTCCCTTCCAGCTCAGGATATTCTATATTCTATGATTCCATCTCCGATACCAAGCACAGAGCATCTGAGCTCTGCAGCAGAGGCACCTCAGGAGCAAGCCCAGATTCTCTCCCACCTCAGAGACCCCACAGGCACTGCCCAGCCCAGGGCTGACCCTGTGCCGAGAATTCTCCCACTGTCTGCCTCTTGTCCCCCACCAACTGAGACACCTTCCCTGTGCCACTGAAGAGCAGATTCTCCTTGCTGATGGTCTTCAGCTCCCACCACCACAGGCAGTTCATTTTTTTGCCCATTTTTGCTGCTATGCACAGAACTAAGAACTACAAGCATCTGGCATAAGCTGAGGTGGGTGAGTGCCAGGTGGGGAGAGACTACCTGTATCCATAACTTCATCAAAAAAATGCAGAAGACCTTGTCAAACTAGAGAACTGAGGGGGTCTAAGACACAAACCAGAGTCAGTTGTCATGACTAGATGGCAGAGAAGCGTTCCTGCATGAGACCATCACTACAGCTCCAGCAAGAAGTGAGCAGTTTGGGCTAAGCTGCTGCATTTGCAAGTCCCGATATTCACCGTTCCCCACGGTAGCTTTAACATGACTTGAAAGATGAGCACAGGAGTGCATGCAGAAGCTGACCATGAGCTGGAAGCCCTGATCCAGGGCTCTCATGGAGGGGAAATTGTGTTCAGAGATGCAGGAGACTGGGACCTGCACATGATAAAACAGCACCTGGCACTGCATACCAGGCAGGTCCGAGAGAACTGGAACAGCTTCTATAGAGCACAGCAAGCTGCTCCTCAGAAAGTAAGTGGCCGTTGGCTCCCCAATCCACTAAAACAAGTTTAAAAGAGACAGTAGCACCCTGCTCCTTCCCTCCTCTAACGAGGGGGAAAGTGAGACAACACCTCACAGCTTAATGCTGTTACCGTCAGCATTTTTATCTCAAGTTGAACAGTAAATATGCATTTTATATTTAAATACAAATACTTTGTATTTGGGCATTTTAATATGTATTCTATGTATATAAAAGTACTCCTATTTCCCCACTGCAGCCACACACACCCATCTGAAAATGCTTATATTCCAATATTATCATTTACAAGTTATGGCTGTAAGTTATTTACAAGTTATAATTGCAAGTTGGCACCCCAAAACCAGCACACACAGAGCTCAGCAATGACAAGCAAAGCCACAGCCACTCATCAAGTTATCCAAAACTTGCAGCCCCACACACACTGGCACAGGGCTGGGTCCCAGGGGAGGTACAGACCTGCCTGTATCTCCGCTCCGAGCACACCTTGCAGAGTCCATTGAAACGATTCATGGCTGGAAACCCTAAATTCTGTTAGCCCATGAAAACCCAGTTGTCTGGAGCAGCTGGAATCCTGATCTCCTCGTATCCCACGAGCGTGGAACAAACCCCAGTCAAACTGGCATGAGCATGGGAACCCAAGCCTGGAGAAGAATGGCAGGAAGCCACCTTTCACCTCCCCGGCCCCTGGCTGCGCTGTATGCCGCTTTCCGATAAGCCAGAGGCTTCCTGCAAAGCCTCAGTGACAAGGAAGGGAGAGAGTTTTATATTAAAATTCCTGTCAACTCTTTAGTATTCCCTAGTCCCTGCTCTGCTGCTGTAGCTTTTGTTCCCAGGGCATTCTTCAGCTGCACGGAGCACTTTGTTATTGCCACGTTCTCACAAACACTCGGAGGATGTTTGATTTCACAGGCACAGGCTGGGAGGGCTTTGCTCCATGAAAGACACCACTCACACTCAGAAAAAAAGAAGAGAATTTGGGGGTTTCTTAAAAAATAAATAAAATTTAAAAAAAAAAAAGGAAAGGCAGAGTTTGTTTTTGAAAGCACAGACCAGTTTGTTTTTGAAAGCACAGACCCAGAGGATCTGCATGTCCCCAAGCTTTGTGCTCATGAAGTCACGGAGGGGGAAGCAGAGAGGCTGATTGAATTGCACCCATGGGATAGTCTTTAGAGACCCAGAGAAACTCTTAGCACAGCCAGCAGGGCACACTGCAGGGTTCAGTCTGCCCCATGCAGCCCTACTGCCAGTGTTGGGCACAACCCGTGAAGATGGAGTTCCAACCCCCAAGGCACAATCCTTGGAGATGAGGTTCCAACCCCCAAGGCACAACCCGTAAAGACGGAGTTCCAACCCCCAAGGCACAATCCCTTGGAGATGAGGTTCCAACACCTAAGGCACAATCCCTTGGAGATGAGGTTCCAACCCCCAAGGCACAATCCCTTGGAGATGGAGTTCCAACCCCCAAGGCACAAACCCATGGAGGTGGGGTTCCAACCCCCAAGGCACAAACCCTTGGAGATGAGGTTCCAAGGTATAATCCCTTGGAGATGAGGTTCAAACCCCCAAGGCACAATCCCTTGAAGCTGAAGTTCCAATGGAGAAGAAAGCACCTTCCACACTCCTACATGGGGATGGCAAGGCTTGAAGAAACCCAAACTCCAGACTCCCTGTCAGAGGGAGTGGCAGGGCCAGGGGAGGCTAGAGATGAGCTGAGGAGTCCCAGAGCTCCCAGGGGAACCAGCAGAGCCATGGGAGGCACTGCCCAGGGCTGCTCCAGGCGCATTGTCCCAGGTAGCCGCACTACCAGGCTGGCGCTGGAAGGAGGATCAGCCTTCCTTCCCAGCCACACCTTTCAAGTCAGAAGCAACTGCCGCAGAGGAAGGGAGGAGAGTGGCACTGGCTGTGTTTGTGCTGCTCAGTCCTACCCTGGCAAACAAACAACTGCACAGGCAGGCGAGGGAAGCACAGGGCGGAACTCGGCACAGATAAATCACGGGGCCGAGCGGGCCCCGTTTCCGATGCGAACGGCGTGTTTGTGTTCCCATTTCCCATCCTTGCCTCTTCTATAAATCACTGAGGCTCCACCATGGGCCTGTCCCTTCCCAGAGCACACGGCAGTGGAAGGAGGGGAGGAGCAGACGGGGGCACGGGGCCCGGCCAGGCGCGATGGCGTGTGGCAGGCAGCCTGCCAGCCCCACCACATCGCTCCCAGGCAGTGCTTACTGCTTTGCCTCAGGGAATATGCTGGAAAACTGGCCCCCGATGCAAGAGGGAGTGTGGGGTTAGCACCCACATCACATCCAGCTGGTGCTGGATCAGGATAATGAACTGCCTATACAGCCCTGGTGTGACAGGAGCTGGGACAGTGCTCACCTTGGCATCACCCTCACTAACACACTGACCCTTGGCTGGTTTGGAACACCCTCGTGAAGGCATCTGAGCCCAAGTGGGTGACAGCCCTGTCATACCCACCTTCAGCTGCTTCAGGGTCACAGCATCTTGGCTGTCCTGGGCTGCACTCTGGGTCTCCAGACTGACTTCTAAAATAGATAAAAAAATCAAATTTAATTGGGCTTTTTAAAATTAAATAAGGAAAAGGCCCTGTCAGGATGAGGGCACATGTCTCCTGATATCCCCACACTGCATCCACATGCTACATGTAAGACCTTGACATGTCATGGGCACATCTCCTCCAGGCAGCAGCTCGAGGGTGGCTGCACACCTGGGCTGTGCAGCCTCTCATCCTCCACACTCCCTGGCAGCACAGCAAGACCAAGGCAGGAGAAAGAGCTCTCACCATCCCACTCAGACCCCAGGGGCAGGACAGCATGGCCACAGCATTCAGCCTGAGAGGCAGGAGTCAGACCGAGGAAAGGCCAAGCAAGAGGGAGAGATGTGGCTGCAATGTCAGGGTCCCCACAGAGCCCCAGGTTAGCAGGAAGGAGGTTGATGGGGAGACAGAGCCTGCTGACCCAGCCAGGGTCACCCACACATTAGGTTTTGGGGTCCCAGTGCCCACTGAGCACCACAGGGGTGAGCAGTGCCCATAGGGACACAGGGTGAGTGGAGTTGGGGTTTGACACAAAGGTGACTCCTCTTCCAACCCGTGCCAACTCTTCCTGGGACATCCCCGTGGAGAGACACACCTGTGCTCTGCTTCAGCCTCCTCATGGCCACCTTCAGGTGCTTGGTCCTGCCCAGGTCTTCCCCGAGGAGGTAGTACCAGCCGCTGATCTCCTGGGGGGAGGGAAGAAGCTGTGGATGCAGGGGCAGATGCTCACTCCCATTTAACTCAACCCATACCCCTGGGGGTCCCAATGCAGGAGCAGTCCCAGGAGCAGTTAGAGCAGACAGAGGTGCTCAGACTTGCTCACAGAGAGGCACAGTCTGGAGTCCCTCTCTTAGGACACCAGGATCTGAAGGGGCTCCAGGGAGGCTGCAGAGGGACTCTTGGTTAGGAACTGCAGGGACAGGACAAGGAGCAATGGGGAGAAATTGAAAGAGGGAAATTTAGATTAGATATCAGGAAGTTTTTGCTGGGAGGGTGGTGAGACACTGGCACATGTTGCCCAGGGAGGCTGTGGCTGCCCCAACCCTGGCAGTGTTCACAGCTAGGATGGATAAAGCCTTGAGCAACCTGCTCTGGTGGGGGGTGTCCCCATCCAGAGGCTTGGGACTGGATTATCTCTGAGGTCCATTCCCACTCTTTAACATACTATAAACTATGATATGGCAACAGCTAAAATTCCAACCTCCCTGCAATGAGGGACCAAGTACTGATGAAGAAACAAGCTTGCAGCTTTTTAGAGGGGGACAAAGTACAAAAAAACAGAAGGTGTCCAGTCTAACTGGTGCCTGCAGCAGAGAGTAGTCTCACAGGGAGCACACAGCTCCAGCCATAGCACCACAGGAGGATGCCCAATCCAGCCCTCAGCAGTGCTGGGTGCTGCAGAGTGAAGTCCTTTTGCCCACCCATGTGGCCAGGGCAGCCAAGAGGACAGAGCTGACCACAGCAATCCCTCACCTCTCTTCCAGGGAGATAGCACTGTCTCCCACTGCTCCCAGAGGGACCAAGCCCGAGAGTCAGACAGAGTTGCAAGGTCCCAGGGGAAGGGGCCCAGTTTGAAATGAGCATTTTAAATCCACAATGAGGAAACTGAGGAAAGGGGAAGGGTGGATATCCAGCACCATCATGCAGCACCCAGAGGACAAGGCTCATCTCAGCCCTGCTGAGGTCCCAGAAGAACCACATGCCCCCAGCATTCTCCTCCCACCCCTGTGAGAGCTGGGTGCTGTGTTTGGGTGCTACCCACAGGGACACTCCATCTGCTCTGCATGCAATGACACTGTGAAATTCACTGCCCAAATCGGGGAGGAAAGGGACATCCCTGGGGAGGCCAAATATGACCAGAGCAGAGGCCCCTCCTGAAGAGAGCTGTAGTTTAGAGCTGCACTGCCTCACTGCTATAAGAAAGCTTCACCTCACCTGTCCAAATTTCAGAGGATGCCATGCTCAAGCTACATCTCACTCTTTTCTCAAGTCATTGCCACCTTTTGAACATCCTGAGAGGGAGGAAGTTTCCACACCTTAGGTGTGGAAATTTAAAAAACCAAGAAGCATTTGGCCAATGCTCTTAGGCACAGGGTGGATTGTTGGGGTGTTCTGTGCAGGGTAGGAGTTGGACTGATGAACCTTGTGGGTCCCTTCCAGCTCAGGGTATTCTGTGATTCTACAACCTCAGGTGGTGTATTAACACTCCAATGAAACCACTCCAGCTTGCCGAGGTCCATAGGACATAACCAGGGCTGTCCAGGGACAGAATCCCTAGCCTCTGGCTGCTGGAATGAAACATTTCCACTTTTCAGTGGGTGGCAGGAGGCTCGCAGGCTGCCCGAGGGAGGCAGAGGCAGCCGCGCTGAGAGCTGTACTAGCGAGCAGCAGCCAGGCTGGGGCAGCAGCACTGGGACCAAACCCGCGGGACCGGGGTCAGGGATGCTGGCACAGAATTCCTCCAGGAACATCTGAACCCCTGTGCCTGCCCCCTGCCCATCACCACACCGCTGCTGAGCGCAGGGAATTGGGCAGATTCCTCCTTGGAGTGTCTCCACCATTGCATCCACTCACCCACGTGTCAGATGGGACACACACCAGGTTAAAAGAGGCTTATCCCATCTCCTGTCCCCCAGGCAGCCCTGCTGCAAGCCGGGCAGGCAGCACATGTTGGGGCCACCTCTCTGCACCCCCAGTCACTGCTACTCTTTGTGCCTGCAGAAGGGAGTGACAGTCCCTTGTCTTAGGATCCCTCCTCTAACACCTGCAGAGGGGGGTGACAGTCCCTTGCCCTAGCATCCCTCCTCTAACAGCCTCCCCATCCCTGCCTCCAGCAATCACACTAACACCAGTCTCACAGCGGCCATCCATAATGGGAATGGGATGAGGGAACTCCCTGAGCATCTTCTCCCGTCGTGGGAGAAGTCTGCTGCTGCCCCAGGGGAGCACTACACCCACCCACCGACCCCAGACAGCCAGGCCCCAGCCCCACACACTGCCCTCTGGCACAGAGGTACCTTGTCCAGGGTCAGGAGGGACTTCACTCCAAAGCTCATGCAGCCAATCAGTTCACTGTGCCTGTGGGAGAGCCAGGGACCATCAGCACACACTTGTTGAAGCACCAGCCCTTCACATGCACCCCTTTTCTGGGAGCCCACAAACACCCCTGCCCATGTTGGGAGCCAAGCAGTGCCCAGGATGTACCCCCACTCCATGCTTTGAGCAGGCACAGCGTAACCACATGGCTCAGCTGCAGCAGGGCAAGGGCTGAAGCATCCTGGTCACCTCCAGCCTGCCTGATGCTGGCAAGAGCTTGGCTGAGGAGGCAGAGGGCACTTGCCTGGGCATACAGCACAGTCTGAGAGGTGCCAGACCCCTTGGTGGTGGGCTTTCATCACCTGGGCTCTTATCACCTGGGAAGGTTCCAGTCCAGGGCCAGGTTTCAGCCCCACTTGGCTCTGGCCAGCAGCACAGGCGTAAGTGGCTGCAGGGGTTTGAAATGCTGGCCCAGCTGATGCCTATCACACAGCAGGGCAGGATTTCCTCCCCACCAGCTTGCCCACCACCAGCATCAGCTGCCCATGAGCATGTCCCTGGCTAGGGAGCTCTGCCAGCAGCTCCCAGTCCTGGCCCCACTGCCTCACTGCCCCTCAGCTCTCGTGCAGGGCAGCCCTGAGGTCAGGGCCAGCCCTGGAGCCCCAGGCGTGCTGGAGGATCTCACAGGGAGTGGCCAGAGCAGATGGCAGATTCATTGCCACAACAGTCCCATTTGAAAGGGATCATATGGCAGCTGCTTACCTGGAATGTCTCTCTCTGTTCCAGACTGTGACCAGGAGATGCTTCTGCTCATCATCCTCTTGCACTGGGCTGTAAGAAGCAGAGGGCACAGCCCATGAGCACTGACTTTCCTCAGGAGCACTCTGCAAGGGCTGCCCTCACAGCTGGACACCTCTCAGCCTCCTCAGAGCCAGGTCTTCTCCTCCAGTCTCTGCACAGAGCACTGCAGCACCACCCCAAATAGCTCCTCCAACGAGCCACTGTGGCACTAATTCACTCATTCCTGACAGACAGCTGCAAAGGGATGTGACCTCTCCTGGGCAGGCGCTGGGGACACCACTCGAGTGGATTAAGGGGGGAAATAATCTTGCAGAAAGACACACATCAAAGCAAATGGAAGGAACAAGGCACAGTTCATGCTCTGAAACAACCACCCTGTGCCAAATGAAACACTGCATGGGTCAGAGGTCTGGCACAGGCTGGTTAGCCAGCAGTGACAAGCTCTAGTGAAACAATAAGAGCCATGCAGCTCCTTTCCCATGCAGAGACATGCTGGAACTGTAGGAATCCTTTTACCTCATTCATACTACTGCAGGTGCAAGGTCTAGGAGATGAAGTGTGTTTGCCCAACTCCTGCCCAGCAAGAAAGTCAGACCATGCAGGAGCAGCTCTGTCATGCTGTGTGCTGACAGCTCTGGGAGCCTCCACAGAGCTCTGCCCCAAAGTTCAAGGCATTTCAGCTACAAAAACCAGCAGAAGAATGCCTGTCACTCCTCATCTCAGTGGCAGAGCTGCTCATGCATGATGAGTGTTTATTATAGAACACAATGCAAAGGCAAACTCGGGGTCTTGGCGTTGAGAGGAGCCCCAGGACAGCAGCCACGTGGGTGCTCAGTGCTCACATGGTGCTGAGGGCTGGGCCAGAGCTGCCTCTGCCCTGTCATACTCACAAAACAAAGTGCTCGTGGAAGACAGGATTTTTGCTGTCTGGCACAGTCTTTGTCTTTTGCCTGCACTTCCAGTCAGCATCTGGCACGATGGACATCTTGGGGAGGAGAACAAGCAGCATGTTAGCACTCTCAAAGCAGGCACTGACACAGCTGCCAGCTCTGCCCTGCATGGCAGGAGACTGGCACAGCCACCTTTCTGCACAGCTAAGCATAAAGATCCAGCTGAGCTGGAGCTAACAGGTGGATTGGATCACTTCAGCCTTATGCATGTCAAGTAATTGCATTACAAAAGTCCTCAGGGCAGAGGAGGGAAGGAAAAGAGCAGAAATATCAAGGGCTGAGGTACACAAGTGCTGCTGGGTGGTCTCTGAATTGCATCCCCTCGTAGGGGAGATGCTTCCTGCACTGTGCACACTGTGGTGGGAGCAGCCTGCCAAAGTGACCTCCAGGACAGCCTGGAGCCACACTGTGCTGGCCAAACACTTATCCCCACCGGTCCTTGGGCAGCCAGTAGGACGTTCTTGCAGTGAATGGTTGGCACAGCCCTTAGCAGGGTCCTGTCCTCCACCTTCCTCCTCCATGCAGACACTGCAACAAAACCCATGAGCCATCCAGCACTGAGCAAGAACCCAACACCTCCCTGCATGCTGGGGATGGAGGGGGAAAGGGAAGAGACAGGCAGCCCAGAGCATGCTTGAAGGAGCCAACCACAAGACCCCAAAAAAGCAGAAAGCTCCTGAGGAAGTGCCAGGAGAACTCACCTTCACGTAGGAGTCACATGCACGGCACTCTGCTCCCATCAGACCTTTTGCTTCCATGACTGGAAATGAAAGGGAATGGTCACATGCCAAAGCATCTTCCTGCTTCACAGTGCTCTGCTTCACTGGGTGCTCCCTCTTTGTGGGGCCAAGCCCACCATCTACCCCAAGAGGACCCTGCACAGCCTCCCCAGCAGTCTGCTCTCACCCTCAAACAGGGGAAGGGGTTTGCTGTCTCTTCTCTTTAACACACGCATGCTATAAATAGAGAAATCCATGGGTGAGGTCTGCAGCAGATGCAGTTCAGCATGCAGATGGCAAATTGCATTCCCTTTGCCTGACTTCCCTGTTCTGAGCTCCCCACCCTGGAGTCAAATGTATCATCAAGTTAACTATCAAGGGTCACATCCTGATGCTGCACTGCACCACTGCTGGCAGCCAGAACCCTATGCTGTCCCGAGGGAAGAGATGTGCAGCAGGGTCTGGATAGCACAGGATGGCTGTCAGAACAAAGCTAAGCTCCCTCTTGACAAGCCCAGCAAGGCAGCAATGACTTTGCCTTTGTCACACACAGATTGTGCTCCTAAAAAACACAGTGAGCCTAACAGAAACCCCAGGGCACAAGGGGAAAGGAGGTCTGCAAGACCCTCTGGTGCTTTATGAGGTAGTTTATTCCTCCAGCTGCACCAAGAGCTTCCTCCTCCAGCCAGACCTGCTGTGGGGTTGAAGATGGGGTGAAGAATCAAAAAGTAACATGGGTTACCCCACATCACTCAGCCTCCTCCTGCCCACACCAAGAACCCTGAGCACCCAGCAGGTGCAGAGGGATGTCAGGCCCCAGACCTTGAGCCCCCTTTGCAGGACCATTTTTCTCTTCCAAGACCCTCTTTTGGTGACTACATCACTACAAGACAGGGACTTGCACCCAGCTCACACTAGGGCTGCTGCAGACTGAGGGATCTGGGGTAAAGCCTGTGCCAGACCCTCGGAACCACACACAGCTTGGAGGGAGAAGGGAGAAACAAAAAAAATAAAGAAAAATAACTAAATCCGATACATTTTCCTCCTGTTGTCCCTTTACAATGTATTCCTGCATGGCTGGAACAGGGCAGCAGGCACAGGGGCTGTGTGGGGCTGGACCAGGCCACCCCTGACCCCATTTCATCCCAGGCAAGGGCAGGCTGGGCTGTAAGGTGGGATAGTTGCTGAAGAGAAAATCTTTTCCATCCCCTCCTGCCTGCCACAAAGGTCTCTGGGATGAGGGTGTTTTCCCCCACATACCCCATGGGCACTGGGAGTCCCAGGGCCCTAACTTCCCCTTGCACAGAGCCCAAATCCTGGGCTCTGTGATATATTCATATTCATCCATGAGCCTGTTCTGTTTACAGGGAGGGAATTTTCACTCTCACCATTTCAAACTCTTGTTTTTCCCTTGATTCTTTAACCATTTCCTTATATTTAAGCCCTGACAAGCTCCTGGTTGAAAGAGTTCAGTGCCAGGAAAGCAGGACACACATCCTTCACTGGGCTACAATCCTAAGGGTTCCAGACAGGTTTTTCCCAAAGAAAAGAGCTAGTTCTGACCCTTTCATTGGCCTCTCTGATGATCGCCACAAAAGCTGCAGTGACACAGTGCCCTGGGACCTGCCTGAGTCAGGTGTCCCAGGTGCTGCATCACTTCCCTGCACTCATGCCCAGACTAGAGTCCCTGATGAGATGTGGCTTGGCTTGAGGGACAGCAACCCCAGTCTGGTCCAGGTGAAATATTCCTATTGAGGAATACTGCTGGTGTTAAAAAATGCAACATTTGGAGGTAATAAAATGGTCTGGAAATCCTGACCAGTGTGGCAAATAGCTTCAGCCAATGGAAAAGAGGTTTCAGCAGACACAGCATTTCAGATGTTCTTTTCCAAATGATATTTGCCTTTTTTCTCTTCATATGGAATGAGAAGAAAAAAATACATGTGGATGCAAAACACAATGTTCACCCAGAAATTAAGGTCTCTGGAGGTTTTGGGTTAGTCTCAAAGAGCTCACAGTTGTGCCAGACTGTCCCCAACAGCTGCCATGAAGCTCCAAAGAGCTTGAAGAAAGCGTATGGAAGTTTTATCCCCATCACTAGCCCTGGGGCCATGCTGGGATGCAGCCAGGGGGATACTCACCATGCAGCACCAGGGTCCGGCCCTGCACCTCGATGGACAGCTTCAGCTGGCCTGGGGGAAGGAGAGGAGAGAGGCTGAAGGAGGCAGGGATCACCCAGCCCATGGCTTTTGGCAGCACAGGGACCCCATGACTCCAAGGATCACACATCCTGCTTCCCCACCCCAGTCACAGGCTGCATCACCACCAAGGGGAGGAGAGCAGGGAGAAAAGGGGCAGATTTGCCTTTTTCAGGCAAAATTGGCCATAGTAGGAAGGGTGGGAAAAGGTGGGATGGGTCATCCTCTCAGTGAGGAACAGAGGATATCTCCCTCTCAGTGCATTTGCTCTCAAGTGTCCCCAAAGCATGTGAAGGGGCAAACCCCACAGCCCAGCACACCCCAGCCAGCCTGGTTGGCCCCACGGTGTCCCAGCCTGCTCTGGTCTGGGAAGCACTCACGGAGTTTGTAGCAGTTCCAAGATCAGAGAGAGAAGCTGCTCTTGGGAAGAGACAACCCACCCGGAGCTGATGGAAGGGATTTGCTGTGCCAAGGTCTGTGCTTGGACAGACCTGTTGCATTTGCTCAGATATGCAGAGCAGTAACCTCCCTCCAGACCTGGGTGGGCAGGAACACAACCCCTGCCAAGGCAAGTTCTTGGGCTGCATTCCCACCTGGATCCAAGTGAGGGTCAGAGAAACCTTCTCCCTTGTGTTTGTCTCTTTTTATACATTCCTAACATGAACTAAGGGAAGCACTTCAGCAGAGAGGCCCTGACACAGCTTTTCCAGGTCCCTGGTATTCAATAAAAGTTAATATAAACTAAAATAGGTGCAGAGAAGGCCAAAGGGAGAAACCACACACAACTCCTGGGTGCACAGCACATCACAGGGCTCAGCCAGGCTCACAAGCTGCAGCACAGACAGCACCCAGGCCCCTTTCATCAGGACCCCACAGGAGAGGCAATTCAAGCCAAGGAACAAAGCTGGCACAAGGAGAACAGAGAAAAAATGGGTATGAACAGGCACAAGATGGTAATCAAACAGGTTCCCACCCATGAGAGAAGTTTGCCAGGTTAAGGGAGGGGACAGACAAATGTCCTGTGGGAGCAAACCTAGCAGGCAGGAAAATCTGTTCTATACTGATCATCTCCAACACATGGAAAATTTGGGTTTCTGCTCCTTAAATGCGTTTCTGTTTTGTTGTAGGAAAAATGCAGCATTGGCCCTGGCTGGGGCAGCCAAGAACCATCAGTGCACACCCCAGTGGGGATTCCTACCAGAGGACAGGAGAGTCAGATCCTGCCTGGGCAGGAGGTCTCCATGGGCACAAGGCAGAGCACCCTGATATCACTATCTACAACCTCAGGCCCTGGCATCAGCCCTTTGGAAGACCCTCTCCTCATCACCTACACAGACAGGGTAGTGCTGCCCCTGCCCTGCCACAGCTCTCCTGCTCAGAGCACACACTCCATGTGATGCTCAGCCCATGAAGGGAACTGTGGCTGCAGAGATGATGCTTGGCCCAGACTTGGTGACAGAGTCAAGAGGCACCACAGAAGCCACACTTGGCCAAAGTCCTATAGACAGCAACAGAATTCCAGGTGCCAGGCTGTCCTTGGCAGTTTGACGCTTCCAAGTCAAAATGGGGAAGGAGTAGCATCCCTGGGAAGGGGCTCACTGCATCACTGCCTGCTCTGCTCACGAGAGAACAAGCAGAAGCTTTGATAGTACAGAAAACTGTGGCTTAAAAAGCAGCAGCCAGAAAGGGCACCCAGCTGCCCTCTGCATGACAGAGCTGCTGCCCAGCCATCACACTCACAGGCAATGGCCAAGGCCTCTGCTGCCCAATTCACCTGCTCCCAGGCTCATAGCCAAACCATCCCCAGCCCAACTCCAGCCCACAGAGCCAAACCACCACTGCCCACAACCTTCTTCAAGCCCACACTGCAAACCTGAAGCAGCCACAAAAACACCCCCAAGAAGCAAAGCAGCAAACTGGGGGCCACAGCTCTGGCCAGCCCTACACAGCAACCCCAGCTCATGCACCCCCAGGGGGAAAAACCACCTGGGTACTGGGCACCTGGTGATCACTGCAGCACTCCTCAGCAGCTGCAGGGTGGTTTCAGGGAACTCCCCAGTTTGCCAGCTCAGTGGAGCCAGGGATTATTCTGGTTCAGCGAGGCAGAAGCAGAGGCAGAATGCCTTTGTGGAGGAGCTCCCCAGCCCTCCCCATCACACCAGGCTCGGGCTGTGACCTGTTGCAGCTCCCTGTGCCACACCAGCCGGGTCACAGCCACATCCCCCGGGCACTGTGTGTCCCTTCTCCCCGAGCCATGTGCTCCTCACTTACCAAACGTGTTGAGATAGAAGGAAGCTCCCAGGGGGTCAGCCCGGCGGGTGCAGAGCGACACTCTGCAGGCACTGCCGTGCTCCATGGCAGGGCACTAATTAGCCGTAATTGGAGCCCTCCCAGCCCAGCCCAGCTCGGGACAACCGTTCCCGCAGGCAGTGGCAGGCAGTGCAGCAGTTTCCATGGGACACGCGTCCAATCGGCGGAGTTTGAACGGCACAGCTCCCATTGGCCGCGGGGATTTGAACTGGGAGCACACCTGGCGGAGCACACAGGGCTGAGCCCTGTGCCATGGCCTCGTGCCAGGATGGAGACTGCTCTGCCCTCCCCGAGCCCCACGGCCACACTGCTGCTGCTCCTGGAATGAGATCCTGGGGAAAGCTGCAACGTCTCCTGTCCTCTAATTAAATCCCTGTGATTGTGCCATCAGCTTTGCTGGCACACAGCTCTTTGGGGAACTGTCCCCCCGGAGCAATGTGGGACAGCAGCATCCACAGCACCTTGGGGAATCACTGCAGGCAGGGAAAGGTGCAGGAGAACTGGGCTGTGGGGGTGAGCCAGGAAAGGGAGGGATGGCAGGCCACTCCTTCCCATGGTGGACTCCCCATACACTCCTGGCCAGGGCTGAGCCCCTGGCTAGCCCAGAGCTCCTCTCACACCCCCATTATTTACCTTTCACCTTACATCTCACATCTCATCACTTACCTTTCCCTTTCACTCTTGCATGGCTGATCCTCCTCCTGTTCCCTGATGGTCCTCTCTGCTTCCTCAAGGAGGGTTGTACAGCCCCACATCGTCCCTTTGTCACAGCTGGCAGAACCTCCAGCTCCAGCAATGGGGAATTCTGTCCTGTCCCTGCCAGAGAAAAGAGGGGATGAGAGCAGGACAGAGACCAGGGACACTCCCAGCTCCCCCTCTTCTCCCCAGGCTTCTTCCCTACTTTTCCTCCTCTGCTCTGCTCTGGTGAGACCCACCTGGAGTGCTGCGCACAGCTCTGGTGTCCCCAAAATCAGGAGGACATGGAACTGTCGGAGCAAGGCCAGAGGAGGCCACAAAGCTGATCACAGCACTGGAGAACCTTCCCTATGAGGACAGGCTGAGAGTTGGGGCTGTTCAGCCTGGAGAAGAGAAGGTTGTGTGGAGACCTCAGAGCAACCTGCCAGGAGCTGAAGGGGCTCCAGGAAAGCTGCAAAGAGCTCTCCCTTCTGCCCACAGGGAGGGTCTGGGGACCCCTCACCATCCCAGCCCTGGGGTCTGCAGAGAAATCTCAGAGGGGCTCAAAGCCCCTCTCTTACTGTTGTGTTTGTATTGCAGAGTGAGGTCCCTACAAGAAAGACTCTGGACTGTCTGTGGTCACAGTGCTGCTGTCACCTCCTGGACAGGAGGGTTGAAGAAGGACCCTGCCACTGTCCCAAACATCCACCTGTCCCTTGACACATCCCCCAGAAGCTCTGTTGGTGCCTGAGCTCCACAGACACAGGTAAATGATGTCAAAGCACTGTTCAGAACAACCAGGAACCAGCACACAGGTGGGATGGCCCTGCCCAGGGATGCAGGCGATTTCTAGGGCACTTCAAAATGTTCCTCCTTCAGGCTTATCAGAAACTCCCATTCATTTGTTCAGTTGAATCCACTGATATTCCCAGTAATCTCCACCTGCCACCCATCAAAACTAAAGCTTTTCCCCAGAAAATTTACTTGCCCCTGAAAGAAAAAAAGCCACAGTCTGGGATTGGATGTTTCTGTGTGCAGCATCCCGAGCTACCAGGGACCAGCACAGCACAGCTCAGCCCACAGGACAGGCTCAGCCCTCCTGAAGGACAGCAAACTATTCCCTCTGCAGTCCCAGGTATCCTGAACCTCTGGAATGTGAGCAGAGTTTGTACCTGCCCAGCCTTGCCAGATCCTGCTCTCCTTCATCCCACAGCACCTCAACAGCATCAAGGCCATGGCTGGGGTCACTCCTCTTCAGCAGCTCTCCCCAGCACACCCAGTGAGGGGGGAGAGGTGTGTACAGGGCACCCTGTCTCCTAGGAGCTCCCTGGGCTCACACAAAGCCTCTCCTCTCCCTGGCTTTATTGCAAAAGGCTTTTAAGAGGCAAACAGAACAATAACAGATGTTTTGTCCCTCTAGCTAAAGCAGTTCCACAGCTTCGGGGAGCACAGTCTCAGGAGAGAGTTTTCAAAAGGATTTAAAGAAATAATAGTAAAGGTAAAGAGTCTCCGTGGGACTCCCAGGCCATGGGCTTGACGCTCACTGCGTGTAGAAATCACTTCTAACACTCAAACCCAGCAGACTCAAGTCTGTGCAAGGTGTTAGCAGAGAGCCCCAAGATCAAACACAATCCCACCCAGAGCTGGGCATCTCCAACCCCCACAACAGGAATTGGGATTGTCACACACACACATTGCCCAGAGGACTTGAGGCTCACTGGCTGCAGAAATCACTCCTAACATTCAAACCCAGGAGATTCAAGCCCATGCAAGGTGTTAGCAGAGAGCCCTGAGATCAAACATGATCCCACATGGATCATCTCCAACCCCCACAACAGATATGTGGGAGACACAGCCCCTCATCTCCTGCAGGCACCAGGATCTGGTTCCCTGGTGCTAACCAGGCACCTGCAGAGTCATCATCCATCCTTCCTTCCCCCAGGAGATAGAACAATGCTGCAAATTGAGTGGAGAAATCATCCAAGCACTCACGTGTGAGCTGTGGCTCTTCCAGCTGCTCCATGACTCCCAGGCAGGATCAGGATCCTCTGCAGCAGTGTCCAAGCACCAGCTTGCCGTGCTCAGGCTGTGATTCAGCTGCCACAAGCCTTTGAGGTAAAGGAGGGGGGGAAAAACCCAAACAAACCCAATATATAAATATCCCAAGGAAGCAGAGATCTAGTCTGGGATGTTACAGACTGTAAGCTGGGAAGAGATGGTGGCAGCAGTGCATGCAACAGCCCTGTCCTCTCCTGGTTCCCAGCAGCAAGGAATCAACTCCTTGTAACTTCCCTCCTCACATTCCAGCCCTGGGAACTGACCTTAGCCTGCAGTTTTGTTGAGGCTCCAGCAAAGTGCCCATTCAGCTGGTTGGCCTGGGAGTTAATGACTTTCCTTTAAAATTTAACACAGTTCTCCATCACAAATTTCTGCCTGCCAGCACTAGGATCTGCCTTTGGCTGGGTATTCAAATCCAAACACGTGCTTGGACAGTTATTCCAGGCAAAAGGGGAGCATATGCACACACAGAAAACCCACAAGGTTGAAGCTGCTTTTAAAACTAAAGAAACTAAATCAGACTGGGAAAAAATGATCTGGCTGCCCAGATGGTAAGAGGATTGGAAGAGAGAGGGTTTGGACTGTTTCTGGGCAATCCTGAGGACAGATTTCTGGGATTAGCACAGTCTGCCATGCAGGGTGGACACAAACCTCAGTGTTTTCCCAATGGTGGGTTTGCTGCAGCCTCCTCATCCCCAGGGTCTCCCACAGGGCCCAGCTGAGGTGCTCCTCTCCCCACCACCACCTCTGCAGCAAGCACAGCTGAGCCATTCCCTGGAAAACAGCAGTGAGGAACCCAACAGAGTGCAGAATGGCTGATTACCAAATCCTTTACAATCTGGGACCTAAGAAAGGTTTCTCCTCCTGAAAGGGTGTATTTAGAAACACCTTCTCTGCTCATATCCCACAGTCTGAGCAGCCTGTTGGAGCCCAAACCTGTGACCCTGCACAGCACCCTCAGCATGGTCTTTGCTGCTGCCTTTGCCAACCTGCAGCTCCACTGGCACCTGCTTTCAGAGCAGATGCACTTAGTATTCCACATTCCTGGAAAATTACCCCTCCCAGACAGCAGAGAACACTGCAGTGCGATTCAACTAACACTGACAGGTTAGCAAATGGCTCATGGGCTGCTCCTGCCCACTGCACAAAGCCATCTACCTCCTTCTGGGTGCTGGAGTGTGTGAGCCCTTAATGACACCAGTGAAGAGCAGCACCAAGAGACATCCCAGGCCTCTTAGAGGATCTGATCTGAGCATCCAGTCCTGCTGTAGCATTTTGCCAAATGCTAAGTATTAATCCATTGCTGATTTATTTTAATGCAATCAAAATAATATAATAATCAAGCTGGGCCTTTAGTGACACTTCTCATAAAAGAGATCAGGTTCAATATAGCTAAAGGTCTCTTGGGAGTGATGCTTTGGGCCTTTGAATGGTCAGATGGATCTAAGTAATGAAGTTAAAACAGCTTAAGAAGTTATTGTCTATCACCTGAGCTGAACTGTGTGCACAGGCTGAAGCTGCAGGGAATAGCTGAGCAGGTAGCTCAGAGCATGCACCTGGGCTCTACTTCCCAAGGCTTCCCCCAGGATCTGGCACTATTCAGCCTCCCAGTGAGCCACTTTAGCTCACCAATTTCACAGAAAACTAACTGTTTCTGGCATAGTAAACAGATCTGACCAGGGCATATGGTGGGGGAGACAGAGATCAAATGCCAGAAATCATAGAACCACACACTGGTTTGGGCTCAGAGAGACCTTAAAGACCATCCAGTTCCAAGCTCCTTTGAGCAGGGCCACCTTCCACCAGCCCAGGTTGCTCCAAGCCCCATCCAACCTGGCCTGGAACACTCCCAGGGATGGGACAGCCACAGCTTCTCTGGGCAACCTGTGCCAGTGCCTCATCATCCTCACAGGGAAGAATTTCTTCCCAATATCTGTTCTAAATCTCCCCTCCTTCAGTTAAAAGTCATTCCCCTTGTCCTGGGGCACAGTGAAAAGGGGTAATTCACCCTTTTCCTTGACAGAGATCTCCCTTGTCATCTTGTGCAGCCTCACTCCCAGGCTGCACAAAGTGAAATAAACCATACCAAGGCTCCCCTCACTTCTATGTTCAGATTGAGCTAGTTTAGCTGAAGGCTGCTGCCTCCTTTCTCTCCCCATAACCCTATGATCCTGCCTCCCCCTTTAGCCCAAGCATGGGAGCAGGCACACAGTCTCTCAAGTTAGAAGGGACCCACAGGGATCACCAAGTCCAAGTCCTTGCAGGACTGCATAAAATTAAATCACATCCTCCAGATGTTCCTTGAACTCTGGC